CTTAAATCCAAAATGACTGAAACTTCATTTGGGCTATTCATAAATGGAAAATGAGTATCCATTTCTGGTCCAGTATTGTTCTGTACATGACACTGTCACTGAAGTCAACAGAAGAGTGAAGTGTATATTGATTCTTGAGGCGGTATAACTGGTGTCTTTCCCCTTATTTGAAGTAAAACCTGTACCAAATACCAAGGCAGTTGCTGAGGTGTGCAAACAATCTCCTGTAATCCAGTAACTGTGAAATAAAACACATTTATTTCTAAGGTTGTGGAAAGTGCAATTTGTTTGCTGTCAGTGAATGTGAATTATTTAAGCACTTTCTAGTTTCAAATTCTAGCAATCACAGTCTTTTTTCACCGATGGGTATTTTTGTCTGGAAATTCTTTCTACGTGGAGACATAGAGGGGGAAAAAATTACTAATGTTTCCAAAATGCATTTGCAAGTAGATTGACTAATGCGTGAGTGTTCGTATTTAGCAGTGTGTAAAAATAAACAGCTGAGATCTGCCCACAAAGCCACATATGCAATTTACACTGCAGGATGTTTCCAAACAACAGAGACCTCAAAAAAAGTTTTTTGCAACTCTTAAGTTTGTTTTCAACCTAGGACCATCAAGAGATCTGATACTTACCTTAGTGCTTTTATGGTTATACCTTTTCAAGCAAAGTCTCTCCTCTTTAACGAGGTACTTCTTCTGTCATTTAAAAAAAAGCCAGTGAATAGCCTAGAGACTTGAAGTAGCATAATAATCAGATTCTCTGATAGTAGTAACATTTGATATTTTAGAACACCTTGAACATGGATTATAAAAGAAGCTGCTAGATAAGATCATGAATTTGGGCATTTTGTGTTGTTTCTTCATGTTCTACCTTTAACATAGAAGGTTTTTTTGTAGGAAAATTTACCCTATGAGGTCAGATATCTCAGTGTCAGCATAATGGCACTAGTTACAACCTGTAACTACCTAGTTACAACCATTAAAGCTGTGGTGGGTGGTTGCCACATATGTTTTGTGGGAATTCTTCGTACTGTGTCTCAGATACTGGGATGTAAATACCTTCAGAATCACAGAATGGTTGAGGTTGGAAAGGACCCCTGCACAACCTCTAGTCCAACTCCCTGCCAAAGCAGGTTCACCCAGAGCAAGTTACACAGGATTGCATCCAGGCAGGTTCTGAATATCTCCAGAGAAGAAGATTCCACAACCTAAAAAAAAGTCAATAAAATTTTAATCCTGCCAAATTGGACTCCCTTGGTTGGTTATAGACCTAGAAAGAAGAATGTGATTGTTACAGGAGTTGAGCATCACAGTAATGATCTTCTGAACAAAATATACCCAGAATGCTTGAGTGCCATACACATGTGCAGGATACAATTTTCTGGGATATAATGCTGCCTCTTCAGCTCAGGAGTTGCCTTCATGGGGAGGAGGCTGTGGGTCTCATCTGTGCTTTCACAGAGGCTTCATTCTCCATGATCCAGCTGAGAGGATGGATCAGTCTCTAGCCTGAAGGGAAGATGCTCTACCATGTGGTTGCATCTTCCATTACCGGTGGCAGCTAGGCTAGACACCACTTTAGGACTGGATTCTTCCAAAAATTGCCTAAGTTTTGCAATAGCACAGTCATAGGAAACCTGATGGAGCTGTGTCTGATTTGCAGTAGTAGAAGGAGGGAAGAGTTGAGCCCTCTGACACCACATTTGAGAGGAGTTGTGTGAATGGCTGGGTTTTACATGGCAGTACAAGGAAACCTCTCTGAGCTCACAGGAAGTTTGACTTGGAAGCTTCGGTGCTCAGGAGGATCACTGTACCTCCTGGGCTTAATATCACAAAACTAGGTTTTAGTGGAGATGAAGTTTTACATTAAACAAAATAACAATGACATAACACCTTTATTGGATTTCATTCTTTTTGGCACTAACAAGTTCTTTGTATAGCAAAACTTCAGCAACTTTTATCTTTTAATATTATTATTTCTTCCATATATTTGGGAATATTCTTACTAGACAGCCTTTGCATACTCTGTGACCTTTCTGGTTTTGGTGATTGCAAGCTACATAATTTGTTTTAGAAATAAAGATGCTATTTGAGAGCTATTGTACTTTAAAAGTAAAAAGCTAGCCAGCATTGACACAGGTGATTGATTCAGAAGACTTAGTCAGCCACTAGTGCTTTTAATTTCTTTTCATTTTTCCTTTACAAAACTGAATTGGTGGTGTGATGAATGTCACTTTAGTGTTTTATCTGAGGGGGGAAAGGAGCTGAAGGTCAAGTCATAGAATATGAAATGTTTGAAGTTGGGAGTGCCATGCAGGGCTGCAGGGGGAAGCAAGGATCAAAATATCATATCTACACTACTGCCTGCTGCACAGCTTATTTCTGGCTTTGGCTGTATCATGATAGGCGAGAAGGAAAGTCAGGACTAACAGGAGTGCACTTGGAGCTGGTTGATCCCCTGGTAAACTATCAACCATATCTGCCTCAAAAATTCTAGTTATAGTTTTTATCAAAGCTTACTGACAGGAAGACATAGTAGCTCCCAGCCATTAGGACTGATCAGGAAGCTGTGTATTCATTAATCATATGGGAGCATCTGCTTGGGCTGTGCACACTTGTGCTAATCCAAAAGAGTACACTGGCAAGGAAATCAAACCACATCATGACATGTGCATGAGTACATTTAAGTTTTTTTGGATTGCAGGAGACTTCAGCTTTAATCTCAGGCAGTGATAAGAATTCAAAGCAGTGTCACAGTTTTTACTTTAAAAACATGCTGGTGATTTGTTCTAGGCTACATGGAACTTTCTTGTTTCTGGTGAACCACTTTTTGAATCACTTAGTTGCAGCTACTTCCCTGTTGATTGTTAGCTTTTGCTTAATGGGACCATAAGAGACAATGTGTGGGGAATGGAGTCAAATCTTTTATTGCTGGTCATTCTGCAATAATTAATACAAATCTGATTAAAGAAGGGGAAATTGTCAGGACTGTACACACTTCTATAAAATAAAAAGTCAATTAATGCTTGCTTTGAAACAGAAGCTCAACAAGTAGAGGAAGGAACAGCTCTACCAGCTCTATGAGGCCCTGTATATGAGCTATCTTCTTTCAAGAGAGGACTCTGACACCTATATATACAAACCAATACATCATGTACTCTAAAGACACAAGACAACTTGTCCTGCAGCCAAAGCAGGACTATCTGCTACTTAGAGGACTTGTTGTGGAACACTAACATTTTTTGCAGAGAGGCTTGTTAGAAGTCATTTGAGGTCAAGTGGCCTGAACCTGCAGGCAAAGACCTGGAGCTACAGACAGCCCAGGGTAGCTTCCACAAGTGTAGCTCTACCAGAGTTCATTTTCTACTGCTGCAGGTCAACACAGTTCTTGGAAAAGTTGTGGGGTTTTTTTTGCAAGAATATCACTCACAAACGGTACTAGCAGTCTGTCTGACAATTAACTCCTGATCACATGTGATTTTAGTCTTTCAAGGGATACACTCAGCAACAAGAACAATGAATGTAAGTTAGTGGGGTTTAAACTTGGACAATTTACTCTTATACCATGGGGGTTTTTGTCAATTCTCCCAACTGTACTTATGTTTCAGAGCTGCTACTGTCAATGCTGGTCACATCCAAAATGGGAAAAGTTATTTGTACATATTAGTGTGAAACACTAGGATGGTAAAAGACATACTAGAAGATATGTTAGGAATTGATTCAGGTTTGAAAGATACACTTTTATTTAGTGAGCTTGAAAGATTTCTGTTTCTCAGTCCCTAGTGTTTGCTTATATGACAAGAAGAAATATCCATATTTGCTTATTTAGACTTATATTTCTATCTAATATATATAGAGAGAGTAATATATCTTTACATATAATATCTTTATATATTATAATTCTATAGTATATAGAATTATATAGATTTTCCATATATTATATATAGAGAGAACTATTTTCTTGTCAGAGCTTACTCTCATATAGAACAAATTTCCATATAAGCCAGAAAGTCTGAATAAAGTTTTGGTGACTGGCAGATGCAAAGACAAGTAACTAAGGTGGCTGTTTCAAAGAATGGCTAATACACTGTTGCCTTTTCTTGACAACATTGACGGATGTATCAAAAGCAGAAAAATCAGAGGCAGTTTTGGCATGACAATGAAAGACACAGAGCTATCAATGTGATCATGAAGAGAAGAAGTCTAGTAGGAAGAGGATTTAACCAGAAGAGCAATATTACAGTGAATGCTCAGGTTACGAAGGATATGGGTAAAATGATGTACTTTTTACTTTTAAGCTACTTGTAAAATTTGCCTTTTATATTAATGTCCTTGTTTCCACTCTTTTTCTTTTTTTTTTTTTCTAAGCAGGCTGTTTCAACCAAGACTCTCTGCAAAGAGAAGATAGGTTATTCCTTCATATTAATTGCTTGTGCCTTTAGTGACAGGTCAAATCTGGCATCCTGCACACTCCCTTTTTCCAAGGACAAAGCCTTCCCTCTCTCCAAGCCCTATATATAGACATCAAGTTCTTGCGAATGATGCTGGGGAACTCCAGTGAGCAACACTAGTGAATCTCTCAGCATCTTGGTTGGAATGGGGAAGGGGATTCCCCAAGTGCTCAATCATCTGGGGAAAGATCTTGATATATGTGTCATTGTCTTGATTCAGTTCTGCAGAAATAGTGAATTCCAAAAGCAAGACTGAGAATTAAAGAAGAACTTTCACCATTCATAATAAAACAGATCAGGATTCAGAAATTCTACCCCTTTCACACCCTTGCAACATACCCAGAACTGAACATCCAGGTCAGCTGCAGAGACTAAAATAAAACCTTGCTTCACTGATTGGGCTCTCAGCCCATAACTCCCTCCAGTCACAGCTGTGCATGGAAGTTACTAGGACTGTAGCTATCTCTTCTCCTTCAGAAACACGTGCCGGAGGTTTGTGAATGTCCCAGTTAAAGATATTTTGCAATACCAAAGAAAGAGGTCTGCATGAGGAGTCAATAGGTAGGACTTTATTTGTAGCCATTAAAATTTTCTTATGGCAGGCCAATTTCTTGCCTGGAAGCAAGGGACTGAATCTTCTCTGGTTTATGGACCTGAGACACTGTAAGCGCTAACAATTTGCTGTATGATAGGCTAAGGACTCACTGTTGCTTTGTTCCAAAACCTAAAAAATCTGTGTGGCAAAAATATGCCTTACTCCAGAAAGGGAAAATGGAGTCAACTATGGCAAATAGGTGGTGGTGTTATTAGGCTGCACATTTTGAAGAAGATCTAAGGTCAGCAATGCATTTTTAAGGCTTTCTTATCCTCCTGCATCAGTTTTATTCATATGGAGTAGTAAATATAACACACATTATATAATTTAGAATAATAGACACAAAAGGAAATTCCAGTTCCTTTAAGACAAGCACAACAGATAACCTCCTGTGATCAAATCAAGACCTACTCTGCAGATACATCCTGAGGTGTCTTTGTTTCTCATATTAGCAATGGTCAGTATGGAATATGCCCTGCCCCCTATGGTACCATGATCTTCTTTTCCTCAGCATTAGATGAGGCCAGGTTAGGTCCTGTTAAGAAAAATAAAATAAATCAGATGCAATGGTATATGACTTACTTATATGCCCTTCAGAAGTATTTTATGAATATGATGACATCAGGTTGCAAAGGTCTTGAATCACAAGGTAAACTAAACACTGATTTAGTAGGACCACATGTTGCTAAAGTTTTTGGGTTTTATCTTTTTAAGGAAGTCCATGCTGTTGTGTGGGCAAATTACATAACAAGGTCTGAGGCAATAACTGACATTTATACTTGGAAGCAGAAGTAAATCCTAGTACTGTTTTTCTCAGACTTTGTTTGTTGCATGCATTGGCAATCTTGTGACTTTCAGACCTAGCATCTGGTTTGGAGTCCATTTCCAAAATGTCACAGTGCCTTCTGCTTTGATTTCTTCTCTTGTTTAATGTCAATGTGGTGACTTTCAGATATATCTTTAAAGAAACAAACTGGTTCATAAAACCTTGTTGTCATGAGGCAGCTGCCATTAATGACTAAACCTTTACCACCTGAAACCTATCAAGTAGATATTGTATTTGTGTCATAAGTATGGAGAATATGATATAATACTTTCTCCCCTGATCTACAAAGTATTTCCCCTCTGGACTTTGAATAATAAATCTTCTTGCTATTATCATAGTGCTGTAGGATACCACAGCATAAAAGAATCTGTTTTTCTGGATGAAATATTATAGTACTCCCATTAGAGAACTCCCATTTCAAGATCCCATAATTCATTAGCTGAATGCTTGTAAGTGTCACCTAGTTATAACTCCTCCAGGAGCAAGTAATATTGTGTGCTTTCTGGTGCTACATTACATTCTCTGATCAGAGAGAGACAGATTCTTTGCTGTTTGTTTTCCTTTGGGACTACAAGTATGTCATTTAAGCTGTAAACTACCATCAGTACAGAACTTTTTTTTTCTATGCACATCACTGTACAGGCTGCTCTAGAAATAATATAAAGTATTGGTCCAAACAATATAGATAAAACACACATTGATTTTGATGGAATTTTTGCCTCTTTAATAATGGCTAAATAATTGGCTATCTAGCTGTAAGAGTAAGACTAAAATAAAATCCTTTCCTGATTGCTCTTTAGTTTCATTTCTGCTAAGTCACTGCACAGGCTTGCTGCCTTGTAAATGGGGGATGCTAAAACCCCACGGTTGAATGCTTTGCTCTGGGCTAAGCATCAACTAAATTATGGCAGTTGGGATTCAGGAACTTCCATGTAAGAAATCTGCTCTCTTGGTCCAGCAGTAACATAACTACATCTTTATCCTCACATCACACATGCAAAACTTAGGGACTTGCAAACAGCTGCTGTGACAAATCTGAATTTTGCAGTGCAGAAAAATGCAATTGTAAGAGACACAAATCTGAACACCTGGATCCTAAACATTGCCTCAGCTCCTTCTCCATTTATCAGTATAGAGAGGCTTTCATCCTTCGCAACTTGTGGAAAACTATATAAAACAAAAGCTATGATGCAGTTAGCTTCATAGATCACTAAACTTTTAGACTGTGGAAGTGGTTCAACATTGAAGACATGAAGACATTGAACAGATTTCACTAAACAGCAGGAACTGGTGACTAGGCTTGATATTTGTGCATCCCACAAAATAATCAAATTTTGAACTGAAGGAAATAAAACGAGATTGAGAAAAGCAGAGGTGAGAATTTGCTAAATTTTAATAATAAAGTGGTTACTTATTAAGAAGACTCTGTAGAAAAAGATACTAACTCCACTAATTCGCTATTAGAAGTGCCAATTCCCACTTCATTTTCAAATAATTTTAAATTTTCACATTCCTTTTAAAATATTTATAATTTTTCCAGACTTGCCAGAGGACTGCAAGGAAAAGTGATTATCTTTTTCTTTTTTCTGTTCTTTCTTGTGTGAGAGTTAGAATAAAATTGAAAACCAAACCCACAAAATTCCTGGGGCAGGGTCACAAAATCTTTTAAGAACAGGGAGGCATCTAAATAAATGCCAGCTCAGCCTTAGATAGAGGCAGGTGTACCTTTGTAAGGCCTGACCTTTTATGTGAAGCAATCAAAAGGAATGAACTTCTAGTGCTGTTGGTAGAAAGAATAGCCTAAGATAAATTAAGAAGTGGAGTGTCAGACACTGAGATGGGGAATAGCCAGATAAAAGATGCTTAGGGGAGGTGGCCTCTGTGGTGCAACATCCTTCTAACAGTATTGGCTGTCATGCTGGATGTCATACAATGACTTGTCTCAGGTGTTTTATTGCATTTCTTGCCTCCCCTTCCCCATGCCTGTTGTTTGCCTGGTGTTCAGAGATCTCCCCCAGGACCCTGGCCCTCCCCTCAAGGCTGGGCGGCCAAGGGGGCTGCCACAGGGACTGGAGCAGATCATCTCCCTGGTGTCATTCCTGAGGCTGCTGCGCTGCTGAGGCATGAACAAAGACCTCAGAAGTATTTTAATGCTTGTTCACTTCTTAAAGTGAAATGTTGAGTTCATTTCGTCTGCAATCAGTCTTTGTGTCTGACTTGTTGCAAATACTTGATTCCTACTGGGAGGTGTAGATCCAGCACCCTATAAACTGGATACTCTGGACACATTACAGATTTTATGATATCTTCCATATTCAAAAAAAAAAAGCATCTTTTCTATAGTGGAGAATTGGATCACAAAGTAAGTAAGCTGCAACTCCAGGGAACATGGTGCCATTCTGAATCAAAATGGTTTGGATTTGAGTTTTTAATGAAATATGGAAACAGAGAGTGTACTTGGAGAGGGGCAGGGAAGAGTGACTCTGTTATTGTAAATATATTTGCCTCAAAGAACAAGTTTTTTACTATCTGAAATCTTCAGTATCTCTTATTTGTTTTTATTTATTTCAAGCCTTTGCATGTGTTAGCTTTTCTGCAGACTGTAAAATTTAAAATTGTCCCTTAAAGTGAAATCTATGATGATCATTTTATTGGAAGATTAAACTTGAAATTGCAAGACGGATCACCCTAAAATTACTGTCATGCCTGTTTCTGGATTCATTCCAGAAGCATTTGAGTGCTACCACCAAAAATTACATGAAGGGTTACGCACATCCAGCTGCAAGCCCTGAGGGAAAGGGCATACATTGTAAATAAATCTGTTGGTGGGCACGGCTTCTGCTAACTTACCTATTTGAGTCATAGTCAGTAACCTACTTCTGCACAGTGGCCCAAATTCAAACACACTGCTATGTTAGATACTTGCTTCTCTTTGTAACGCAGAGCTCTCAGCTGAGCTGGTAAACCAGCAGAGATGAGAATTTGGTAAGGAAGACATGATGAGCAGCTGGGAGATAGCAGTTTAGCAATATCTTAACCTGGATCAAGAGCAGCTGATAGTTTGTCAGACGGCAGCCCACGTCCTTGTCTCTGCAATCTGCAGCACCAGATATTGCTCATCCCTGGCTTGTCATTCCACTCATTACCAGCAGATAATACATTAGCTTGGTGTTTCCGCTCAAATGATCATGAATGAAAAGGTAATATATTTAAATTATTGTCAGTCTTCATTTAGGTAATTCATAGAGATGAACTGCAAACTCCTTGCAGAAGTATGTTTTTTGTGCAGGTTTATGGAGGTATCACAATGCAAATCTGCATTTACTTAACATTGTTAAAGTTTTCTTTCCTGCCTGCACTAGCTAGTGACTATTTTAATGCTTTCTTGAATTCTGGAGTAAAATTACATGGGAACTTATAGCAATATAAAATTCGTATGGCTTCAAGGGCAGATTGTATGTATTGTTCAGCTAATGATGTTGCAATAGAGCTGGTCAATATAGAGAATTTATTCTCTGTGGAAGATTTCTACTTTGACTTTCCTTTTGTCCTGAATTGAAAGGAAAAGTTAATTTTTTTTGTTCCCCAAGAAGCAAGTCAAGAAAATATTATTTGAAAGTTTCAAACAGCTCTTTTTCAAGTATTTCATCTCATAAAGTAAGGACATTTGTTTGGAATAGCTTCAGCCTCATTCATAGCCTATTAATTCCAAATGAAATACACTGAATTTCCTCAAAGCATTGATCCTTTCCATTATTTTCTTATAAAAATAAGAAAGAATATAATTTTTATAATATAATATACTTATAATTACATAATTTCATATAATGTAATTTCTCATATTATTATATTAGTCAATATATTCCTGGGGAAAAATATTCAATTTCACTGCATATTTTCTCTAATAAAAATATGCTGTTCAGAAAAATTTCAGTGAACTCTAGATTCAGAATAATGTTGAATGTGCGATATAGGAATAAAATACTTTCTTCTGTAAAGGAGTACTGGAGAACATGGGAAGGCTCTTTTGTTGGTGTAGACCAGCAATTTTCAATGGGAATTGTTAAATGTTCTGGAACCTGAAGGGGATAGATATAATTTTGTGATGATTATAAAGCCTTAGCTTGAAAAATAAAGCCATACTGTTTGTGCCTTCACCTAACTGATGCTTGTGACAAACTAAGAAGTGAGGATAGTTATTGCTGGATGAAAATTTTTGTAGTATTACCTGATTCGGATTTTCAATTGAGTTTATATCTTTTTAAATATGATAGCACTTTGTAATAAATTCCCTTCAAATTCAATGTGGAAGGAGGCTGAAGCTAACACATTTCAGTTAAGCAACTAGTTTTGCTAAAAGTGAGAAAGGACTTTGCTGAAATATTTTTCCAACATTTTTTCCGACAGTTATAACACAAAAAGTGCCAACTCTCACATTTAAAATAATATTCTTTTTAGAAATTTAAATGTCACTGAAAATTAGAAATGGTTTAATAAAGTGAAACTAACTAAAATGTTTTCATTTGAAGCAGATTTTTGTTTAGTTTTTTGTTGGTTTTATTTGTTTGGTTGTTGTTGTTATTGTTGTTGTTTTCCAGTGGTTTCATCTGACTCTGAGAAAAGGAAATCCACCAAAATGAATTGACGTTTTAAAGCTGAATGCCACAGGTACTGTGACTGGAGACAGGTTGCTGGGCACAGAAAAGCCATGGGAGTGTGGGGGCAATGTTGGCAACCCATATCCAGGGAGGGTAGATGAGTGGACCAGAGAAAATACACAATGAGAAAGTACCAGGTATAGACACAGGAGAGCAAAACTGAGGTCTTCTCTGTTTGGAACACCTCTTTCTGAAGAGCAGGAAAGCCAGGCAGAAAGCCCCAGAGACAAGAGAAAAGACAATTCAGGAGAAAATGGACCACAAAAGTAGTGAAGATACTGTTTGGCCTGACTCTGCTACTGACTCACTGCAGCCAGGATGCCTTCTCCATTGGTCAGCTGTGGCAGGTTTGTCAGATGAGGCTCCTGTGTTTCTCAAGCCTCCCATTCTCTGTGATCTCCTCCCTTTACCAAAAGCCATGAATTATGTACCAGCTAGGTGAGGATAGAACCTTTCTAGTGGTATCCTTTATGTGTAACACCTCTTAAATGCATTTTTCTTGTGAGTTGTTTACTCTCCATCTTGATTTTCATCTGACTGCCCCCATCATTATGGGGACACAACAAAGGGTGGCTTAAAATCTGATGCAAGCTGCATCACTCCATCACTCATTATGCCAATCTAAGGCGTGATCTAACTGTGTAATGGATCTTTCCTATGAAAAGAGAAAACTGTAGGAACCAAATGAATAGGGAAGCAGGAACAGGAGTTGAGAGAAGGACCTGGGGCTGACATCTCAGGGTAGTCATAGTGGTGGTTGTCACTGCAACAGAAAGAGTACAGAACTCCATGATAAAACTTTGTGAGTCATATTCTTCTCTTCTATCTCATTGCCATTTCAGCACTCCGGCCTCTCAGGAAACATGGTTGTCATTGTCCTTCAAAAGTTTTTTATCTAACTCTTAATAAGCATATTTATATAAAAACCCCTGTGCCTAACAACTGAAATTATTCCTTTGTTACATCATTAAGTTTCTTCCCTTTATTAAATATTGATGTTTATTGAGTATCAGTGAGAGCTCTGTTTTGTTCCCAGTTGGACTTAATGATCTTAAAGATCTTTTCCAACTTAAATGATTCCATGATTCTGTGATTGTGAAACATAAAGACATGGTGGTGGTAGTTTTTTTGGCATCGGTGTCTGTCTGCCAACCTCTGCCTCAGAAGTATCTGGAAAAAAAAATAATTATTGTGGTGGATTGACCCTGGCTGGACACTAGGTGCCCAACAAAGCCACTCCATCACTCCCTTCCTCAGCTGAACAGGGGCGAGAAAATATAACAAAAGGTTCATGGGTTCAGATAAGAACAGGGAGAGATCACTCATCAATTACCATCACAGGAAAAACAGACTCAACTTGGGGGAAATTAATTGAATTTATTACCAATCAAAATCAGAGTAGGATAATGAGAAATAAAACCAAATCTTAAAGTGACCTTTCTCCCATCCCTCCCTTCTTTCCATGTTCAACTTCACTTCCGATTTCTCTACCTTGTCCTCACCAGTGGTGCAGGGAGATGTGGAGTGGGTTTTACGGTCAGTTTATCACATGTTATCTCTGCTGCTCTTTCCTCCTCATGGTAAGGACTCCTCATACTCTTCCCCTACTTCAGTGTGAGATCACTCCCATGAGAGATAGTCCTCCACAAACTTCTCCAAGTCCTTCCCATGGGCTGCAGTTCTTCACAAACCGTTCCAGTGTGGGCTCCTATCTCTCTCCACAGGGCCACTGAAGAGCCACAAGCCTGCTCAGCACAGGCTTCCTGTGGGGTCACGGCCTCCTTTGGGCATCCACCTGCTCTGGCATGGAGCTCCTCTGTGGGCTGCAGGTGGATCTTTGCTCCGCCATGGACCTCCGTGGGGCAGCCTGCCTCACCATGGTCTGCACCATGGTCTGCACGGGGAACCTCTGTTACGGCACCTGGAGCACCTCCTCCCCCTCCTTCTTCACTGACCTTGGGGTCTGCAGAGCTGTTCCTTTCACATATTTGTATCCCTGTCTGCAGGTGCTGCTTGGTAGCAGGGTTTTTTTCCCTCTTTCTTAAATACATGATCCCAGAGGTGCTGCTACTGTCACTGATGGGTTTGGCCTTGGCCGATGGTGGATCTGTCCTGGAGCTGGCTGGTATTGGATCTATCAGGGGAAGCTTCTGGCACCTTCTCACAGAAGCCACCACTGTAGCCCCACCCCAAACTAAAATCCAGTATAAGCATATAACACACCAAATTTATTTTAACAAAAATGCTGTCCTTCAGAGTTAAAATGCTATAACAGTTCATATCCTCAAACTTGCACTAAGACAGAGAAATTCCTATCTTCTGTATTTAAAATAATTGTTCTGTGAATGATTCAGATCAACCACATTGTTACAGTGAGACAGTCCATGAACAGTTGGCATGACTGAAAAATCACTGCTTTACAGCTATCCATATTTTGGTGCTTTCAATTTTGAATTGCCTTCTCGTGTCTTTGAAGAGTTTCTTATTGTAAGAAAGAAAACTACTGCTTTTAAAATCACATGAGCCAGCATATTTTCTAAACTATGATGGTGCCAGATACAACGTGCTTCCGATGCCACCATTTGCCAGATGATAGATGAAAGCAAGTTCAGCAAAGCCAGAAACTGAAACTCAAAAACTACTCAGGTTACTAGGACACAGGCGTATTAACTGCAGCATGAGCTGAGTGCTCTGCTGAACTGGGACCTGTGGCATGAAAGGCTATGCTGAACTTTTCACAGAAATACTGAAGTTGGCTCAGATCTGCCCACACTGTCAGATCAAACATGGCACAGCCAGTGTATCCTGCTGCCCCTGTATCACTGCTCTGTTCAGGCACTCTAAGGTGGTTGGGTTCAATGTTTCCAAAGCCCTTGGTCCATGCAAGTACGTGTACACTCCACATTGTTGGCGCAGGATAGGTGTGACACCACATGGGCTGACAGTGTGTTCATCCTCATTCAGTGGCCATTAGCCCAGTGCATGACCCAGAAATTTCCCACTCAAAACCATGGGGCACTAGATTCCCACAGAAAGGACAAGTCCTGTGAGTCTTCTCCCCACCCAGAGGAGAAGCTGTTTGTAGGTGTTCGTCACAATCCCTGTGGCAAACGAAGGCATTAGCTCAAGAGCTTTCTGACTGCGAGACTTTGATCTACAGGATGCCAGTAAGTGTACTGAAAATATGCAGGGCTTTTTGGCCTGGAGAGAGGCCACAACTGAAGCTAAACCCTCACTGCAGTTTGGCATCATATGTATGTAAACTAATGATGAGATCTTACAGTTTGAAGCAGACCAAAGCAAATTCTGCCAGCCTTATTCTTTATTACATAGGCCATGTGAAAAGGCACTCTTTTAAGGCAAGGAACACCCCTAGACTGGTTCTCTTAGCAGGTCTTAAAACAGAACATTTTATTAGCTCCACTTAGGAGGAAAAATAGCATTACCTGATGTCAACACCGATTTTATTCTCCCTGTCAGGCCACGGTGCCATGCAACTAATAGAGTGGGTATTGGCAAGTAAATGCAATATTGATAAAGGTTCTTGCAGTTATACTGGAGAAGTTGCTCTATACTGTGTTCATGAAGACAATATGTGAATCAACAGAAGTCTGAAAGTTAATGAAGAAATATTAGGAGACAAGGAAACTTGTCAGTAGCTGATGTTTGTACAAATCCTCATAAGGGGATCCTTTCTATTTTTATGTACCACACGGCTCCATTAAAAAGCAATCAGCATTAATAACAATTATGTTTATTTTGTTAGCACTGAGATGTGAAGCAACCTCTCCTCTCCTGAGCCAGGCACCGCATCAGCAGCAGGCAGCTCCCTCTACTGCAGAGTCTGGCTTTTGGAAGGGGGTAGTTTGATGGGAGCCTTAGGCACGTGCTCCAGGCTTGCTTCTCTCACCCTAGTACCTTTGAGGGGGCACTTCAATACATTGCAGCAAGGCACCCAAAAGCAGGAGTTGCAGGGAGTTAGTTGAAGCACCACACCATCTGTTTGCCAACACGGTCCAGGCAGCTTTTGAGCCCACAGCCCATGCTCAGCCACGTGGTAGAGGTGTAGTTCCCAGGGACAGTAAGATTTCACACGTCGCACGTAAAGCAACATTCAGATGGAGAAGAGAAACTTTGTCAGTGCTGAGAGGAAGAATGGCCACATCTCCCCTTTCCTCCTTGGAAATGGGCTCCCAGCAGCCCCACAGGCATGTTGGCCAACAAACACGTGGCTCGCCACCCCAGGCTGCTTCCCACACAGCCACAGACCATGGTGGGGTGGGTTGTGTAACCCTGGAGGTGCTGTGAAGGACCGAAATGGAGAGCTAGGGGTATTACTGTGCAAGTGTCTAGGGGAAGGAAACTCCAGGCTTGGGCTGATGAGGTCCTGGATGAACACCAGCTTTCAACAGAAGCTGGGACCACATGGTCTTCAGGGTCCTTTCCAGCCCAGGGGCTCTGGAGCAGATTCTCTGAATTCTTGGCAGAAGGTAGATGCTTTAGAAAACTTGAAAGGAAACAAAACTTTGTGGTGGAGGGGTTGACAGAAGTTGGTGCCATGGCAGCTGGGTGGAGGTAGGAGGTGACATACAAATTTGTAAGGAGTCAGGCTTTGTTACCTCTCAAAGCAGAGTGGCTTAAGAGGAGAAAATGAGCATTCATTAATGTAATTTCAAACAGCTGGTGCCAGACATGATTAAACTTAGCCTCTACCTTACCTGCATAAAGTAGTGAAGCCAAAAGTATACATCACCTTTTTGGTAATAGCTGCTTAAAACCTAAAACTCAGGCAGTCTCACTCACATATCCCTTCCTTCCACAGCCCCTGGCTTCTGGGAGACTGTTTTACTTCTTTTTTTCCCAATGTGCACATCTGTTTATAATGTTTTTTGCATATTTTATTAATTCACATTGCAAATTACAATTACAGCTATTAATCCAAGGAATTTACTTGGAGAAAGCTGCTATGCCTTGTTTTATTATTTTGCTCTTAAGTCACACCTATGGTAAATATTCTGAATTTGATGTTTTTTATAGCTGTAAGATTCTTTCTTACATGTATATTCTGAAACTGCACATATAGTAAGTTTTTGTTCTTGTCTATGCAAAGATCTATTCCCATGGACTTTGAGCAACATCAGCTTCTTGCTTAGTGTCTGTCAGTTTTTTGAAGAAAATTTACCGTTTTGCAGAATAGGCGTAGTTGCTTTCATTGTTCAACACTAATAACATCTTACTAATTATATTAGTTATTTAAATGGTGTATTAAGTTTATGCAAATTCTTCATGTTCATAAAATTTTCTAGAAACATCAGCAGGCCTCACAGATGTGAGTGAATGATAAGAAACTAGTACAAGGCAGTGGTGTCAATAAAAGACAGAGAAAACATAGAACCATGTGGTTAATCCTCAAACACGAGTGCTATTCGGCAGTTTAAGCCATCTCATCTGCAGCACCAGAAGAAATAAACATGGTCTTTAGGGGAAAAAAGGTTCCTTTTCAACAGCAGACCGTGGTGCACATTACCACTCTTCTTCCTCAGTTGGTCAAATTGTTTTTACTGCTGAAAACAAACATTTGCCTTTTCAATACCATTGCATTTGGGGTCCTTCAGGTGTAATCTGGATCTGGAATGAAATTTTCATTTCAACAGCTTTTAATGTATTAGTATTAGCTCATTTTGTAGCTAGATGTTCATTACCTTATATACACATATTCCAGGCTCTGAACCATAATATTTAATTTCTAAAGAATAAAATAAACATGGAACTCTTAATTGTAGCTATGCACTACAGCAGAAAGAACATGGATTCAAATATCAAAATGGGGGCTTGAGTCTTTTCTTAGAATCAAATTTTCAACCATGGAGTGGAGAATTCTGGCTTGCAGATTCTCAGGGTGCACAGTTAATGTCTAGGAGTTACACTGATGGAGGATGCTAAGTTGCAGGAGATTTATATCCTCATTTACCCAGAGTTTCTTTGGTAGCTGAGTAGAGCTCCCATTTTGGCTCTGTACACAGCTCTGGAGTAATGCAGGCTGAAGCACCAGGACTTTTACTTGCAGAGTTTTGCTGTTGAATTGTGAGGGGCCAATCTCTTGTGTCTGATCATCTGCCTGGATCATCTGAAGTGGAAGGCAGCCAAAATAAAATCCTCTGAGTTTGATTTAGGGAGCTCCAGTATAAACCTTGCTCCACTTTTACTGTTTGATTTATGCTGCAAAATGTTCTCTTACTGTGCTGTTTTTGGCTGGGGTAGGGTTAATTTTCTTCACAGTAGCTGGGATGGGGCTGTGGTTTGGATCTGTGCTGTAAATGATGTTGATAATACAGAGATGTTTTCATTATTTCTGATCAGTGCTTCCACAGCAGCAAGGCCTTTTCTGCTTCTCACCCCACCCCATCAGCGAGTTGGCAGGGGGTGCACAAGGAGTTGGGAGGGGACACAGCCAGGACAGCTGACCCCAGCTGACACAAGGGATATTCCAGACCATATGGCACCATGCTTAGCATATAAAGCTGAGGGAAGAAGCAGGAAGGGGGGGACGTTTAGAGTGATGGTGTCTGTCTTCTGAAGTAATCGTCACATGTGATGGAGCCCTGCTTTCCTGAGGAAGGCTGAACACCTGCCTGCCCATGGGAAGCAGTGAATTAATTCCTTGTTCTGTTTTGCTTGTGTGTGTGGCTTTTGCTTTCCCATTCAATTGTCTTTATCTCAACCCACAAGTTCTCTCCTTTTTCTGATGTTCCTCCCCAACCCACCGGGGAGGAGGAAGTGAGCGTCTGTGTGGGGCTCAGTTGGTGGCTGAGGTTAAACCATACACTTACATAATAGATGACATTTCCAATAACTTAAATCTAAATATGTTTAGACAAATAGAGGCTTTTTTGAATCCACTGCCAAACTTAGGAAAGAAAACAACAACAAATTGTCTGGGTGGAAATTAAATGGATTTTTATCTCTCATAAAACAAGTAGACCAAGAAACAGGAACATTTTGAATCAATTCAAATGTTCAGTTTTTATGCAGGTTAATTGCAAAATGAGAAATGTAATTTTAAAGCCAAATAACAAATTTCTTTCTGAAGGCATTGAAGTAATTTTTTTTACTTTTCCAACATGAAACAATTAATTAAAATATCAAATATTTCAATATTTTTATAATTTTGTTCTCCTTGGCTTATTTGGAGCACATTGCAAAATTCAACTTCAAATTGTGTGTTTGTGCTGCCTCCCTCCACATGCCCCCTCCCTTCTTACCACACAAAAATTAATTTTTCAGCTACGTCTGGTTAATGGACTGAGAGAATAACAAATTGCTCAGCATTATGTAAGAGGTCAAAGTACAGCAGTAAACACCATGTAGGTAGGTGTTCCCTATCCAGTTTCAGCAAAATGCATGCAAAGAATAGTTGGATTTTATTGTACTTATATTATTGTCCACATTATTTCTTCATGCACCCTGAAATACAAGTCACTGTACGCCGTTGACTGCCTACAGTCAACAAATGGGAATGCGTCTCTCGCAATTCAGCAAAATACATAGTAAAGTGAGAAAACAGAAGCGTTTTACCCACCAACACATTTTCATTTGACTCAAGTAGACAGGACAAAAAAAGGATTTTTACATGACAAACTGAGCTGGATGTAATATTATCTCACTTGTGATAAAAGATGTAAAGGTTGTTATCTACTTACGTGAAAGTAAGAGAAAAGAGACAGATGAAATATTCAAATATGAGAATTGCAAAGCAAACCTTTACTCTCGTAGAAATATTAATAGAACTATGATAGGACCAGAGTTTCATTGCAAGCTTTCTTGTATTTAAGAACTCATGATGTTTTTTTAACATGCTCTCCATCAAAATTCACAGTGAGAGAGGCAAGATTCCCAGCTACTGCTGGAGGGGACAGTGACAAAGGTCTGATGGTTCCTTGTCAATGCTTCATAAACTCATGAGTGAATGACAGGAATAACCTCTCATCATCAATTCAGGAAAGAGCCTTTAGGGAAGATCTTCCTCATCCGATTTCTCTGGGCCTCTGCTGATTTATGCCAGATAGGAAACAGTCCTTGTGTCATCAGACAACATTCAGCTGAAGAGGTTTGCAGCTGAACTCAGGAAACGGGTGGGATAGATGTTGTGAAGTAAAGAAATTGGCCCCTGGGATATATGGGACATTTAGGCTATCACTCTCAAAGGAAAATTACTCAGGGAAAACTTTTACAGAAACTGGGCATTGTATTTAAAGTATATTTTGCCTAGAAATCCCAGGTTAGCAGAGTAACATCTGCAGCAGAATAACAACTCTGCTCTCTACTTACTGGTAATGCCTTATGAGCCCCTAATTATGTGTGGTGCTGTCTATAGCACAGAACTAGTGTGGCTTATAACATAGGTTTTATTTTTAGGAAAACATTTCTTCTCTTTGGATCATGTTTGGATCAGCCTCTTACCCCAAGTGTGGACTTTCATGAAGCACTCTGTACTGTTCTGCATAGGAAAAAGGTATTTAAAATCTGTGTGTGTGCCCTGCTCTCAGCAACAGTGTAACATGCACACCTTGAGGAAAGCAGTCAGCAGTTCCTAGGGATGTTTCCTTGGGTCTGTTTTGCCAGCCTCTTGGCAGCTCTTTCAGTTCGGAAATTAATGCAGTGGATACAGACATCTTGGGGGACAAAGCTTGGTTTGGAAGCTCTTGTCCCTGGTTGGTTGAGTGGGTGACTCAGACCTTCTTCATGAAATCTGATCATGCTCTAATCTAATTTAGCAGTTCCCTGACTCAGAGATCACTGGAACAATATGTCAGAAAAACAGTAATTACTGCCCCACACCTTGTCACACAGGCTGGTTAATGATCACTGAAATTAGGAACCAGCCCAGCACCTTTTCCGCTGGTAGCAATAGAGATACAATAAATCTTTTATTGTTATGATAGCAAACAGTTTCCATAATTTAGACAATTCTGTTACTCTTTTTTTTTCCCTTTTACATGGGCTAATTTTTCAGTTGTGAAATACAGAGTGATCTTGAAAAACTTCCTTTGAGAAATAATTTTAGCAACTATTTGGGCCTGATGCCTTCTTTTTCCTTACCCAAGCCACCCACCCACAACTTCCTTAACAAATGACATCACATTAACTAGTAGCAATGCAAACCTCTTCAATGCCAATCTCTTCTTGACAAGAGCAAAAAAAGTCTTCTGAATGAAGCTTGAACAAGAAACCAAGCCTACACAGAGCAAGAAACCAAGCCTATACTGTGCTCCGGTGTTAGTAAAACCACAGGTTCCTCTCTCTCAGCTTTACCAAGGGGTCTCACAGGCCACAGCACAGAGTTAAGGTTGACACCAGCAGCTGACCAAGGCATGGCTCAGCTGTCATGTGGCCCTGGAATTCAAATGAGGGAACCAGTGCAGCAACCTAGAAAATGGTTAAAGGAAAAAGAAGAAATGTGACCCAAGGTGTTTATTTTCATTTTCATTAGTGGTGCTAACTATAGATTCTAGGGAACTGGAAATTGGCTGGTGGAGATCCAGAATGTCTTGTGTGCAACAGTTGAAGCACCTCTTCTCTCACATCTGTCCCTAGCACACAGTGTCCCCAGAAAAAAAAACAGACAGGATTGGAAAGGAACATCCTTTATTTTTCCTGACAGATGCAGGACCTTTCTTCTCAGATTTCAGTAATAGGTGAAAGGAAGAAATTCTAATGGGGCATTTGTGTAGCTTGTTTTTCATGTTCTTGCTTGTAATGACCCTCTTGGTGGTGAAGGCAGCATGCACCACACAGCAGCCATTTCCACTGCAAAGTCTGACTTGGGTACATGCATAGACACTAGAAAACTGGAACGTACTGACACCTTTGGATGGGATAGGGAAATGTTTATCATAGGCTGTGGTACCAAAGAGGCATTCCTGCCCCTCAGTATGAAATGGTAATTTTGATGAACTGCCCAGTGAGGCTGCTGAAACCAGAAGGCTCTGGAGGTGTCTACACTGTCATCAAATGATGGCTTGGCAGCACTCCACATCAGTATGCAAAAGCCCTGAAAATACTCTCCCCATTCACGGCTCACCCTGTTTTACAGGTGCACTGGCAGCAAGGTCACTCATGGCTCAATGTCAGAGGGAGCTGATCTGAAAAACACCTCAGAGTGTTTTTCTGCTATGTCAGAGCAATGACATAGAGACACTTCCAGAGAAGACTGGAGTACTCTACTCCTGTTGGCAGTGTGGGAAGAGCAGCCCTCAGACCGAAAAACGATCTGAGAGAGGAAGGTCCTGCTGTGTCTTTACCTTCTTTTAATATATGTATGAAGTCTCTAGGAAGAGTAGAAAGGAAACACTGAATATTGTATTAGTGATAGACAGCTGATATTCAGCTTCACATTGCTGTAACAGCAAATCTAGTCAGTGATGTGGAAGAGATGATCTCCAGCCACACAAGATGTTTACTTGAATGTGACTCATTCTCTGAGGCTCAGCTCCTGACCAAGCGAAACCATGCTGGCAGGGTTGCTGAAAACATCATCAGAAAGTAGTACTGAACTTCCCCCTCTGGTAAATGAGGCACAGAACTCCAGCAACATCTTTGGTTCAAGGCTGGTGCTAAGATCCCAAGAAAGCAATCCTATCAGGGAACATTTTAATTATATTGGCCAGGCTGAGGAAAACCTGGTGTTTTCTATCTGACCTTTGCAATTATTTATATAACCTCTGGTACTTTGCAAAAGGGAAGATTACTTCTTGTGTTTGCAGAGTTTGTGCAGGGAGAGCCCCAGCTCTCTGTTTACCACTGTGTCACCAGCTTAGCATCAACTTGATCAATCCACGTAAGCTGTAGCCAGTTAATTCCACCTCCGCAGCAGCAGTTCCCTCTCATTGCCAGCTAACCTCTGGCACAGAGCGCTGCAAATGCTCTTGCCATACTGCAGACAGAAAGTCCCTGCTGGTTTATGACCAGTTCTTACTGTAACTGAAGCAGCTTATGAAGGTTTTTATGTACTAATTGTCATCCAAATTGTCACAGTGACTGTTCGTTTTTACTTTACATGCTGGAGTGTATTGTGAGCTGCAGGAGGTAGAAAAATAGGCCAAATCAGTTTCTGCTTTGAATGGATGATTCGTATTTAATTGAAATGCAACCACATGTTAAATCTAACTCAGAAAGTCTCCAAAATTTAGGCTCGGGTACAAGGGAAGTGTATCTAAAATACAGCTCTCCCTTTCTAAATATTCATCATCTTCATCCTCAGTTTTCATAGTAGTTCACTTACTGGTTTCTTTGAACAGAGTCTGAGCATTTAATTATCAAAGGATGCATGCCCCGGCCCAGGGTAGAGTGAGGCTGGAACTCCCAAGGGATGGGAGACAGCTGCTCAGCACCCATTAGTTTCACTAACAGTTATGAGAATTAGTGCAATTAGCAATTGTAAGATAGAGGAGATTCTCAAGCTGACAGTTTTATCCAGGAATCCAGGGAGGCTAATTTTAATCTTCCTGAATGTAGGTTTTCCTGCAGAACAGAATACTGGGAGCAGATGCTGCCCTAGAGAGCTCACATATTTTTCTTGGAAGAAACCCTATGCTCCTGTGAAATAGTTAGCAGGGGTCTGATTTGTCTCTCATTTCTGTAAACACCCTAGTGTTTACAGCAACATCACAATGTTAAGTATTACTGTACCACATCCAGATGTCCCAACTCATGAAAAACTTTATGAAGCCAACAGGAATTCTTCTGTGGATAAGGCAAGCTGTAGCTTGCTCTAGATGGATGTAACCAGAGACAAGGTTTACTCTTATTGCACTGGCAGGAGCACAAAAAAAACTCCATAAAGCTCCAGATTTACAGTGGACTGACTGACAGCAAAACATGTCCCCAGATACTGAAACATACCCAAAGGAACAACTTGTTTAAACATCTCATTGGAAATGACCAGTAGCACACCTTAACTTTTGACCTTTCCCTTCGGCTGTGACTTCTGTTTAGCTTTTAACTGTCAGAAGTCCAAATTTTCCCTTTGCCATATGAATGCTTAACAACTTTTGTTCTATTAACACACCATCTTCCTCATTCAGGATACCACGGATAGCTAAGCAAAGGAAAACTAGATGTAACAATAATTTCTTACTTGTGTGTGCACATGCGTTAGAAAGAAAAAGTTGCTCCCTTCAGGCATTACCTATGCACTCCCACTTCTCTTACTGCAGTTCTACTTCACACACTCCTGTTTTCCACCTCCCTGGATGAGGATTACAGGTCCTAGTCATCACCAGCATGCACACACAGTTCCTCAAGCTCACTGTATGGGTACTGACACAAGGGAGCATACTTTGCACTATCAGCCAGGAGGGAGTCAGGACCCAAGGTTCCGACTCAGCCTTCAGTCATGTTTACAGGTAGTGCATCCTCACCTACCCAAAGCCTGGCTGGCAAGGCTGTCAAAGTCAGAGGGGGCTCCTGACTCCTTCACAGCGAAACCTCAATATGAAATGGATGTTTTCAGGGTGATTCCATTGAGATCCTACCTTTCATTTCTCACCACATACATTATATTACAGTATTTAAAACTAAAGATATTCCTGTCTGGCTGTAAGTGTGCTTTGTTAGTGCAAGTGCTAGTACAAGGTGATATCATAAGGTAGTGCCATCATAACACATCTTAACGAAAGCCTGCATGTGGCTCACACCAGCTATTTTCCTTTTGATTCAATGAGACCCCACTGTGGACTTTGTATGTAACTATCTTTTAATAACTGGACCCCAAAGAGCCTTAGTGCCTTCCTCTTACATACTTAACACTTTGCTACTTGTTTGTTCTAGAGTATAAAAGATCTATAAAAGCCTTGATCAATGTGTGCAGCATTTTCAATTGGGGTACTGCCTTTTTGATAGGAAAACTTCATCTCCTGCTTATTTAGACCATAAATATTTCAGCATATCAGGCCATAAAATGTTCTGGTCTGTGAACAGTTGTGGTGTTTTTCCCAGTGTCAGACTTTATTCCACATTATTTCAGAACTGACATCTCTTGAGGAAGACTGCCTGGCTGCTCAGCACAGGACGGCTGTTGAAAACTGTCATTTGAGCATGGGGGACATGGAAGACAATCTTGCTCTGCCTGCACACAACACTGGGTAGCAGAGAGCGTTACAGGGAACCAAGCAAGTCAGAGGAGCCTTTGTGGAGCTGCATCAATATACAATAAATACCACAGTAAGAGCAGGAACAGGATCCCGTTGTGTGCCAGCAGGCACCGTGCGCGACAGCTTGTGCTGAATGGCTCCAGCACTTGCCGTGCCAGCAGCTCTGTGCGAGGCAGCATCCCAAGACAAGCTCTGTGCCAGTGCTGGCTGCTTGTGGGCTCTGGTGGGCGAGCCTGGTCCCAGCCTTGGCACTTGGGAGGCTGGGGCTCCATCTCCACTTTG